CTGCCACGTGGCTGACACCTCGGTGCGCCCTGCCCTGCGTGCACCAGGCACCCCAGCCCCAGGGCGAGCGCAGGCAGGGCACCCAGCCCCCACCACCCCGGGCCCTACAGCCAGCGCAGCTCCCAGACCCAGGGCTCCAGGTCTTCATCTGCTGCTCTGAAAGAGGAATTGCCGGCACCAGCAGCAGCCTTTATTCTCCTGAGTTGTGCCAGGTTGGTCAAACCGGCTCTGGCTGCGTGGGGGCTGTATGCCAAACGCTCACTGCAAATTTTTGGTTGTGGTCACTGTCGGCGTGCAGCGCGGTGATGGGAGCTGCGGGGCTTTACCAGGTGCTGTGGGATGCGCTGCTGAATGCCGGCAGGCCTGAGCTTTGGTTTCATAGCTCGTCTTTGTGACTACCAGAGATGCACACCTTGGGCTCACCCCTGCAGCGGCCGGTGCAAATGCCCCTCCTGCAGCTCCACGCTTCGTCCCATCTCCCGGTTTCCCCTGCCCGCTGGGCTGCAGGGACCCTCGGCGAGCTCCTGACCCCCCCAGTGTCTGGCCCGTTTGCACGGGGAGGTGGCTCAGGAGTGGTGGGAAATGTGCTTTTGCCTTCAACTGCCTGTAAGATCTCTCTGCTGCAGGATCCGGCTGAGGATCCCCGCTGAGTGCGATGCCACTTGCAGCTTTTCTCTCTGAAATAGTTTCCATCCCACCCCCACCTGTAATTAAAACCTTCCCAGAATGATGATGGTCCTTCCCTGGCCCCTCGCTTTCACCTTTAAAGTTCTTCTTCAAAACACCCCTCCAGCACCTTTCCTTCTCTCCAGCCCCCTCTCCTGGGGCAGCCCCCAGCCGGCCCCCACCGTGCCCGCACCACGGTGCAGTGACAACGCCGGCACGGCCCTGCCTCTCTGTTTAACCCCGTTGCTTTCAGCCCTGCGGAGGAATGGGCTGCTCTAAAACCCGACTGCTCCGGGTGACACTCTATAGCCTCAGCGACTTCCTCGCTGTCAGACCCCTCTCCTTTGAAAGCCTGACACAGTGTGGCCCCGCTATCGAGCCGGGCAGCTCCCGTAACTTAGCAACTTTCTTTTTGCTTTGTTAAGTTGGGCTCTTCAATCTCCTTAATGAATAAGAGAATCAAGCCAGGTAATTGATGCTTGGCCGTTTAGCTGATGAATAATTGACCGTCTGGGTAATCCTAGATATTTCCTCGATCAGATTGGGCAGTGGAACAGCCGTATCATACCGGCTGCAGCATGGCTTGTGGTTTTAGGGTACTAGAGATGTGTTTTTAGGGTACTAGAGGTGTGCTGTGTAAGCCCAGGTTCAGCGGGACCCTCCCAAAGTCAGGGCTCGTCACTCTTCCTTCACACGCATCGGGCATTTTATGGTACCAGGCTGCACCTCAGCCACAGAACTTACTTTTATCATGTGAATCTTGAGTCGGGTCTGAAAAACACGGCTTCTCTTTCAGATACGCAGTGAAGACAGGTGCTAGGGGGTGCCAAAGGAATCCTCCCAGGATTTGGGGTGGGCAGGCGAGGGGAGCAAAGGCTCTGAGGCAGGAGACAGAAAGCGGGCACCCACAGCGGTGTTTCCCCAGCCAGGAAAGGGAAGCATCCCTGTGCATGCCTTAGCTTACTCACGGATCTCAAAAGGTAAAGTATTGCAGTAGCCTACCCCAGAAGAACCAGATTTGCAGGAAGTTACATGGCTGTTTTAAATAGCAATTGAAGAAAATTTAACGAGGCAAATTATGTTGGCTTTGTGACTGCTTACAGCCCATTGCAGAGGAGGATATTAGGACAAATCAGTGTGTTAAATAACACACGTTCCTATTTCAAAGTTCCCAGCAGTCCTGTGTAAGCATTTACCATTCAATTTTTAAACCAAATTGAATGAGTACAACGAAACCAAGAGCCAATCAACAACACTCTTACTGTGATGGGCTTTGGGTTAAATTCTAAATAAGAGGAGAATATTTTTATGTATTAGGAAAGTGGACAGGAATCTCTGAATGTGACAAAGAATACAATAGCAGATACTTTTTAGCTGACTTTTACCTTCCTATTTGCAATGAGTCACTAGTGATGTTTCATCAGGGTATGGGTTTAGTGTGGTTTTTTCTTCCAGAAATACTATTAATTATTTATTAGTATGTGAATGATCTCTGAAATCTATTGCAGTGACACCTTTGAGTCTGCAGATAGTTTCTGATGGCAAACCATCTGGGCTCTTTTAACTTGTTATTGTTTATCCTTTGGATTTCTCTCCTCTGTTTGTAAGGTGTAACATCAGTAGATGGGGCCAGGAACATCAATATTTTACAGCCTTAATTAAAGGGAGCTCAGCAGCTAGATTACCCAGACCGCTTTCTTTCAAAGCGGCTGCCTTCAGGAGGGAAGGAAAAGACTCTGTTTAAAACAGGCAGTGGGGAGAGGTGTTCCTGGGGTGGGCTGTGACAGCTGACGGGTCTGAGCTGGGACGTGAGCCCCGAACCGAGCTCCGTATCCAAGCGTGTGATGCTTGGCTGCAGCGCGTCCTCCAAACGGCGCGTGCGGTTTCACACGGGAACAGGGGAAGGAGGTGTTGGAGGGCTCCGACGTCGCCTCCTTGCTTGAAAGGGAAGGAGGCAACAGCAGAGAGATGGGAAAAAAAAAAGTGGCAGCCCCATGCAAATGCCCTCGGAGCCAGGGAGGGGGAGACATGCTCTGATGACCAGGCACTACCTCAGGCTTTATACCCAGCTTCCCGTTTGCATCCTCTTATTTATTTCCGTTAACCACACAGCACTAAATAAAGGGAGGATTAAAAACGAAACAAAGGCCTGAAACTTATCCCTCTATTAATTACTTCCAACATAGCAGGAGTGACTATAAATATGGTGCCACTTTAGATAAAACTTTCATGCAGCTATTTAGGCCCTCTGAAATATAAATGATTTCCTTTAAATTTTTTATCATAAATCAGGGCATGGAGCTTTGCGGCACCGTGCCGGTTCCCCCCTGCCCAACGGGAGGAAGCTGCTTTGCCAGCTCGCTGCTCCACACCTCTCGCAGCCCCATCCCCAAGCCCCTTCCCCGGACACATCTTCACCTGCTTTGAGACAGAGAGGCGAGACGTTGCAAGCATCTTTGGCATGTGCACGTTCCCTAAATGAAAGGCATTTCGCCGCAGAAGCGGTGCCTCTTCTTTTCTCTGGCCATTGCAGCAAAGTCAAGACATTTGTCAGGAAACCAAGACAGCAACTCCTTTGGCTCTTGATCTGTTTTTATTAAGGCCCGTAAAACTCTTGGAAACTTTAAATCTAGGAGTAGAATTTTAAGAACTTTGGAGTTCACACTTGCAAAATCCTTAAATCCCCAGACCATCAAAGCCTAGTAGTGTCTGAAGATGTATAAAGATTAGGAGAAAGCAAAAATAAAATGACAGCTCAATAGTAGAGTTATGCCAACTTTGGCACTGTTTTTCTCAGGGGGGTGGGAGGCGGGGGTGTCATTTGTCTGTTTTCTCATACCGAGTCAAGGATCAGATGTTTCCAGTTTGCAATACGTATGTGACCGTGGCACGGCTCTGATTCACCAGCCAGCTTACAGGGACTCAACATCTCTCAGTTTACTTTACTCTCCTGTACTTGAGAAGGTATTTTACAGGATTTATGAAGTGGGGAGGGGGGGGAGAGAGTGTGTCTGTGCCTGCATCTCTGTGTGTGTTTGCAGAGTAATTTCAGCTGCCGAGGGAAGGGCAGTACTGGTATTACCCTGACCCACCGCTGTGCCCGAAGCTGCGGCTCAGGTCAGGGATCTCAGGGCCTCTTTGGAACCTGAAGCTGCACCAAAGACATTTAAGAAGCCCCACACCCTACCCAGACAGATAGATTTCTCACAATTTCCTATGAAAACAAAATCCTCGGTGGAAATATTTCCTAGCACTTTCAGAATTTTAACAGCAGACCTGCTTGCAGGCTCCCAGTAACCCCGTAGCACTAACGAATGCTGCCATCAGTTGACTTTTCCTCTCCCCGGCCCATCTTCCCATGCAGGTACTGCAGACCCTGGGCCTGGCCGACCGGCTTTTAGCGGGGGATTGGCCCAAGTAAGAAGCTCAGGACTGATCCCTGAGTGACAATTAACAGGCATCTGAGGGACTGGGTGCCAGCGGAGGGGTGCTGGACAGTTTAAATCCAAGCTGGTTCTGGCTGGGTGCTGGAGAGGGCAGCCTCTCAGGAGGAGCAGGAGCACTGCCTGCTTTCCCAGCCGGCTGTGGCACAGCCTGGTTACGTTAAGGTGGTGTTGCAGGGTTTCTCTTAGTCACGCAGGAACCACAAAAGATGCGTTCTCCTCAACACGCTGGGGCTTGTTTGGTTTATCCCACCCGTGTGCAGAGTGGCACCAGTCCCCGGGCTGGGGGGCAGAGGAGCCTTTCTGCGGGGGGAGAATTTGGTGACAGGCAAGCGGACAGTGCCAGCAGCAGCTGAGCACAGCCGCAGCAGACACCCCGGCAGGAGACACCCCGGCAGCAGGTCCCCGGGCAGGAACGGTCCCTCTGGTCCAAACCTCATCCCCTGCGCTTTACCCACAAAGAAATACCCTCCCCCTCCCGTCCCCTTCCCTCGGGACCTGCTGCCTTGTGTCGCCCGGGCGCTCCTCGCCGGCCCAGGGAAGGGCAGGATCCGAGCGGGGGGTACAGCCGGGGCTGCCCGGGGGGCCGGCGAGGC